CCCACTTCTTCGGATGCATATGCATATGCATCCGAAGAAGTGGGCTGTAGTCCACGAAAGCTTATGCTCTAATAAATTTGTTAGTCTCTAAGGTGCCACAAGTCCTCCTGTTCTTCTTTTTGCGGATACAGACTAACACGGCTGCTACTCTGAAACCTTTCATTGTCTACACTAGGAGTTTCCAGACCTGTAATTCGCATTGGGTGCAACTCCATCGGTGGTAGCCCTGGTGGAAGTTGCGGTGTAGAAAAGGCTCAGGCAGGTTCAGATGTTTTTATCCCTGTGTAATTTAACTTAAAGATTCAAGGATTCCAAGCTCGTTCAATACACCCACTTCTAAATAACAGCTCTGCAGAACACCATCCCAAAGGCCAGAGCAGACTTGTCTCTGTTTCATTGTGGATTTACTGACTTGGAAAAACATGGTGATTTCTACACTGAGCAATTACAGCATCCCTTCAGCTGTAGCCTGGGATCTGTCTCAGCTGAAACAAATATTCTGTTGTGTATTACACAGCTGCATGGTTAATACATACTCACCCCTAGTATGTTTCCTTTTAAGCCTATCCATGAGGTATTGTGAACAGAAAGCTTTGCAATTTTAAAAAATCAAAATGTTGCATTAGTGGCATCTTGAAGGTTACTGACTATATTTTGCACTGACCACTGCTCTGGCAACATCTTAGTTACTATGGCGTATGAAGTAAAGAATGACCACGTTAGAAGCAACAACTTACCAATTACATTGCAAGCCTTGTGTCTCCTTCCAACAAGACAACCAGCCTTCAGAGAGTGTTATCACTTTTGCAAATGCTTCTGTGTGTATAACTTGCGTTTAGTTTTTGCACAGATGTCTTATCTCTGTCACACAGATGCTCGAACGAGTGGAACCAGTGGGTATGCAGTAAACAAGGACAATCTTGCCCCATCCTTCCTTCCTTTTTTTTTACCCTCAAACCTCTTCCAAATGCTTCAGCCAAACTGTCGTATTTTCCCAGTGTCATTCTCACAAACTTTCATGCTATTCTTCGCAATATTTTATTCAGTTGACTCGTAAGTTTAGTGTTTGTAGCTGCGGGTTATGTTTTACAATTCACTCTTTAAAGAGAGTTTTTCACTTCTTGCCTGAGGAAGTTTGTAATGTTAGTAAAATACAAATGAGTTTCCCTTTTGGTTTCTGTAAATCCTATTTATCCAAATGTTGAGCTAGAATCTTCTTAATACTGATGATTAACATTTTTCTTGGAAAGCTGAAACTTCCCCCTGAATTATGAATAATAGCTTGTGGGTATGCCTCAACAAATCCCCGGTGAAACAGTTCACCTGTTGATTGAAAGGGCAAATAATTGCTCATGGGAGTGTGAAATTGGTCAAAGACTATTTTAGCATTCTCATGCAGTAGTACTGTATACATATTTAACTGTCATTTCTGGTTGCAGTTGCATTGTACCTCAAAGCTGCTATACACGTTATTTGCAGTGGTTTCTACTGGCTTGGTTAATATTTGCTACATACGGATTTATTATTTGCTATAGGAAATCCTCAGTATGCCCTTGAATACACAGGTATGTGAGATGCTAAAAATTATATAGGTATGTTTTAAGTAGTTGCAGCTGTTTATATACATTTGAGTGGCACTATGACTGCTTTAAGGCAAGTCACGTTGCATTTCCTGTATCTGATTATCAACAAAGATTCTGGGCAGAGTCCCAGTGAAGTTAAGGACAGTGGTCTGTGTGTGTGTGTGTGTGTGTGTGTGTGTGTGTGTGTGTGTGTGTATGTAGTCTACTGGCCTGCTGCATGGAACCATGGCTCTAGTGGTTTTGATAACTCTACCATAGTAGTTCTTCCTTATGTCAAGTGACACAGAGCTGTGGTTCTGGTTCTAATATTCCTACTGAGGACATTAGTGTCTGTATGTGCATTTGGCTGGGGCTTGTTAAATACTTTTCTAGATCCTTTTGTAGGATCAGACCTTTGCAGTAACTGCTGGATTCTTATGAATCACACTTTCTTTTTGAGTGATACACCTGGGACGTTTAAGACTCAGTTATTGACAATGTACCATTTCCAACAGGTTTTCTCGGAACAGAGTGCGTTTTTTGGAGAATCAGCGAATCCAGTGTGAGCAAGCAGAGGTGAGTAGTTAAGGACAAATCCCATCAACTCAGGGTAAGAATCTGGCTAAGATTTTATAAACCGGAGCTTTTCCTCTTATTTGTTACAACAAATGTGCTTTTGTGACCTAAGGAATTCTATTTGCTTGCTATCCTCTGTTGGATTCAATATTCTGTCTCCAACAGAGGATAATGTTGCTCTATTAATTTGCAAGAGTTCCACTTACAGAATCTCATTTTGTAGCACAAGTATCAATTTACTTTCAAATACAACATGGAGAATAGGAAAGGACAACTGAAAAAGAGAGAAAATCTATTCAAATGCAGTTTTATTACCTCTATTGCTGCGTACTAGATTCAATTCTAATCTCTCACATGATCTGAAGAGATTTCTTTCTTTTCATCTGTAGTCTTATTTTTCACTTATTGTCTCTAGGGGCATTTATGAAGCTGGAAAATGAATTTTTAAAGGCTACTTTTCTCCCATCACTGCTCCTATTTTATTAACCATGCTGGCCCTAATAGTGATACATACATTTTACCTTGTACAAAGCCAAAATTAACTCCGTTTCCTTTACATCCTGCATGAGGCTGATTATATTGTGATTGAAATATAGTCCATAATTATTACAGGAAGGTAGTAATCAATTTGGGTTTTTCGATGAAACACTCCTATAACTGGCTTCTATTTGTAGTCAGATAGTCCATTGGTAGTTTCTGACTTTTGGATGGGTTAATAGTCCAAAATGAGCCAGTTTGCAGATTATGTAGCTCATTCACAAGTCCCCAAGTTTAAAATAAATTTCTTTTCGCTAGTGCTAACAAAACACTTTTATATCAAACATGTGATATAGTTAATTCCCTTCTGATTTCATTCTTAACTCTATTAAGACACACCTGGGCTTAAATTGCAGCAAGGGAGGTTCAGGTTGGACATTAGGAAAATCTTCCTAAGTGTCAGGAATAAATTGCCTAGGGAGGTTGTGGAATCTCCATCATTAGAGATTTTAAGAGCAGCCTATACAAACACCTGTCAGGGATGGTCTAGCTAATACTTAGTCCCACCATGAGTGCAGGGGACTGGACTAGGCGACCTCTCAAGGTCCTTTCCAGTCTTATGATTCTATGTTCACTAGACCTGAGTATGAAACAGTTTTCCTGTCTTGCAGAAATTTGAGATTTTTTTTAAAATATTTTTCTGTCCTGAATCAGTCAAAAAGTAAAAAAAAAAAAAAAAAAAAAAAAAAAAAAAAAAAAAAA